TTTTTGGACTTCCTTTCCCTCAAGCAGCGAGGCTATTATTTTCTGATAAAACCACATGCTTAATGACTTTGACATGGCATTCATCCACTCTTCAATTAACCAATTCAGGTTTTGTTGAATCATGATTCAAGAATCATTGGTTGTGAAGCTCGGGTTTTCTTTTGGTTCGAGGTGTTTATCAAACAAGACTGATTCTTCTGGAACATTGAACTGTGAGTTTAGGGTTGTGATTAATAGTTGTTGTGGATTTCTTCTTTATCAAGCTACGAGGTTATTCTCTTCATCTCAAAATCAAGTTGCAAGGTTTTATTTGTTAAAGTCTGAAGATTTGAGTTTATTTCTTTATGTCTATTGGAAGATCATGCTTTGTTTCATTTTGAAGACATTTTGAACATTATTCTATCCATGTCTCAAGTCGTCACTGTGCACCTAATACAAGCGGGTTAAGGTTTTACATTTTGTGTGTGAGTTTGTTGATGTTCATTAATGAGGAATGATTAGAGGATATCCTTCTAAGCTTCAAATTTTATCTTCTTTAAGGATCCCACAAAGGCATTTTTTGGCAAAACAAAGGACTTGTGGGGTTGAATTGAAAAGTATGAGGTCATGACATAAGGAATGGTACCATAGATTCACGTTGATCAAGGCCATTTTTGTTCTCATCATTGTTAGTTTTTGCTCATAATACAAGTCAAGGTGGATTAGTAGTTTTAAGGATATCTTGGTTATACTTCTTCCATATTTCCATCTTCGTTATCAGTTCCTCAAAACATTATATTTGTGTGAGAATGAGCTTCAGTTTTGTTCAATAATTTGATTCAAGCATAATTGGAAGATTCCAACGAGACTTCGTGGATGAAAACCAAGTTAACTCTTGTGGACTAAATTATTCCATATTTCGTGATTTATAGGTTATTTGAAAATTATTGGATATACTTGACATCTAAAGATATTTTAAGATATGAGAAAGCATATGTAAAATCAAAGGTTTGAAAAAAAAAACAAGTTTCACTACTATCATTGCATATTTGTTCGAAATTACCGCACTCTATTAAGAAAACAAGTCATGACATTAGATCGACTGTTTTGTCTTCGGTAAGAGATAAGCATGACGAATTCATGTTGAGGGAGCTTGTCCAGAGATGGGTAAACCATAAGGTGTTGGTTAGGTGGCTTTCACGCTTTTTCCATTATCTTGATTGCCACTTTGTAGCGCGACGCTCCCTGCCTCCACTCAATGAAGTTGGGTTCTCTACCTTCCATGATTTGGTTTACATGGAGGTGCGAGCTAATGCTAGTAAAGCTGTGATTACTCTTATTGACAAAGAACGCGAGGGCGAACAAATTGATAGATCGTTGTTGAAAAATATTCTTGATATATTTGTCGAGATCGGTATGGGTGATATGAAGCACTATGAAATTAATTTTGAGGTCCAGATGCTTGAGGATACTGCCGATTACTACAGAAGTAAGGCTACAATCTGGATTGAGTCCGACTCCTGCCCAGATCACATGCTAAAGGCTGAGGATTGTTTGAGGCGAGAGAAAGAGATAGTGTCTCATTATTTGCATGCTAGCACTGAGCAGAAACTGGTAGAGAAAGTGCAACATGAATTGCTGGTAAACCGTGCTAATCAATTACTCGAGAAGGAGCATTCGGGCTGCCGTACCTTACTTAGAGATGATAAGGTGGATGATATCTCTAGGATGTATAGACTTTACCATAAAATACCTAAAGGACTGGATCCTGTTGCCAATGTATTCAAGCAGCATATTACAGATGAGGGTACAGCTCTGGTTCAACTGGCTGAAGAAAGTTCTTGCAATAAAAAAAAAACTACAAGCGGTTCTAGCGTTCAGGATCAAGTCCTTGTCAGAAAATTCATAGAGCTCCATGACAAGTATATGGCATACATTAATAATTGCTTTATGAATCACACACTGTTCCACAAGGCATTGAGGGAAGCATTTGAGGTATTCTGCAATAAAACTGTTGCCGGTAGTTCCAGTGCAGAGATATTATCTTCATTCTGTGATAATATCCTTAAAAAGGTGGAAGTGAGAAGCTGAATGATGAAGCCGTTAAAGAAACACTCGAGAAGGTAGTCAAGCTGCTTGCATATATCAGTGACAAGGATCTCTTCGCAGAATTTTACAGGAAGAAGCTTGCCCGAAGATTACTTTTCGACAGAAGTGCCAATGATGACCATGAGAAGTGTATTTTGACTAAGTTAAAGCAGCAATGTGGTGGCCAGTTTACATCAAAGATGGAGGGAATGGTGGCAGACTTGACATTGGCTAGGGACCATCAGATGAAATTTCAGGAATACCTTAGTGAGAATTCTCATATAAATCCTGGATTTGACTTGACCATTACGGTTCTTGCCACAGGATTTTGGCCGAGTTGTAAGTCTTTTGATCTCAACCTCCCTTCAGAGATAGTGATGTGTGTGGAAGTTTTCAAGGGCTTTTATGAGACAAGGACAAAACACGGAAAACTTTCATGGATTTACTCACTGGGGACTTGCAACATCATTGGCAGGTTTGAACCAAAAACCATTGAGTTAATTGTCTCAACCTATCAGGCTGCTGCCCTGCTATTATTCAACACTGTGGATAAGTTGAGTTACTCAGAGATTATGACTCAGCTGAATATGACTCACGATGACCTAGTTAGATCTCTTCATTCTTTGGCAGGTGCAAAATATAAGATATTTCTTAAGGAGCCTAACACTAAAACAATATCCCCAAATGACAGCTTTATGTTCAATTCCAAATTTACTGATAAAAAGAGAAGGATTACAAAAACTGCATATAGTTATTTCTTTGAAGCTTTTGAGTCTTTCAATGCTCTTGAAGATCCCAAAGCTATCTTTATCCTAAAATACATGTTGTTGTGTAAGATCATGGTTAGTCAAGCTGATGATGTTGTTGGAATCATATCTTCTAAAGCCGGCCTGCAGTATGTTGAACCTGACTTGGATGCAATGAAAGCTGTTGCAGATGCTCATTCCAAAAGATCCATGAAATTATTTAAAACTGCTTTACGAGACTTCAAGGTGCAGTTGGAGGAAGATCCAATATTCATAGGCACTTGTCATCGTTGTATGACACCCTTTTGGAGCAGAATCTCTGCAGGTTGATTGAACCATTTTCAAGGGTTGAGATTGCACATATTGCTGAACTTATTGAGCTTCCCATTAATCACGTGGAGCGGAGGATGTCTCAGATGATTTTGGACAAGAAATTCGCCGGGACATTGGATCAGGGTGCTGGATGTCTTGTTATCATTTGATTACCCGTCCACAGATGTAGTTCCAAATTCAAATGCAAATACACCTGCTCAGCAGCTTGAAGAAGAGATAGTTCAATTTCCTTTTGTTGATGAATTGTTATCTACCTGCACAAAACTTTTGATGAAAGAACCTCTTGCTTTTCCTGTCCGCGACTTGCTTGTGATGATATGCTCCCAGGATGATGGTAAACACAGAACTAGTGTTGTCACATTTATTGTCGACCGGGTCAAAAAATGTGGTATAGTCTCTAGCATTTAAAATTACATCATGCTGGCTACTCTTTTTCATACTCTTGCTTTAATTCTTAATTAAGATCCCGTGGCATGAGAAGCTGCTTCCAAAAGTGGATTGACCAGAATTGCCTCCGATATACTCAACCAGTGGGATTCTAGTCTCGATAGCAAGGAGAAACAGCAGGTGCCAAAAATGGGCCACAACTGCTTTTCTCGCCTTAGACAGGTTGTTGCAGGAAACACTCAGGAGGGAATTCAAAAATATTTTGAAGCTCTAAAAGTAGATCCATACTATGCTCCAGCATATTATAACCTTGGCATGGTCTATTCTGAAATGATGCAATATGACATGGCCCTCACTTTCTATGAAAAAGCTTCCTCAGAGAGGCCTATGTATGCCGAAGCATATTGCAACATGGGTGTGATTTATAAAAATCGAGGTGATTTGGAAGAGGCTATTACTTGTTATGAGAGGTGTTTAGCTGTTTCACCTAACTTTGAGATTTCCAAAAATAATATGGCTATAACTTTGACAGATTTGGGAACAAAGGTTAAATTGGAGGGCGACATCAACCGGGGTATGGCTTTTTATAAGAAGAGTCTTATTTTATAACTGGCATTATGCTGATGTTATGTATAATCTCGGGGTTGCTTATGGTGAGATGCTTAAGTTTGATATGGCTATTGTATTCTACGAGCTTACCTTTCATTTCAATCCACATTGTGCGGAAGCTTGTAACAATCTAGGTGTTATATATAAAGATCGTGACAACCTTGATAAAGTTGTAGAATGCTACCAGCTTGCTTTGTCAATCAAGCCCAACTTTTCACAGTCATTAAATAACCTTGGTGTTGTCTACACTGTCCAGAGTAAGATGGATGCCGCGACAAGTATGATTGAGAAAGCTATCATTACAAATCCGACATATGCAGAGGCCTACAATAACCTAGGAGTTCTTTACAGAGATGCTGGTGATATTGCTCTAGCAAATAATGCTTATGAACAACGTCTCAAGATTGATCCCAACTCTCGAAATGCTGGCCAGAACCGCCTGCTTGCAATGAATTACATAGATGAAGGAAATGATGACAAACTTTTTGAAGCTCATAGGGACTGGGGTAGGCGGTTTATGAGACTATATCAACCATTCACATCATGGAACAACTCAAAAGATCCCGAAGGTTTCAAGAAACACTATGCCACAGTACAAGTTGAACTAACTGATGAATGGTACCCTATAAATGCCATTTTGGATGTTCCATTATCAAAGAAGCTGGCTGCTGGAAGATAGTTTGTAGGACAGAAGCTCAGAAAATGAGAAACAGAAGATTAATTAACAGCTCATCAATTTCCTCCTAACAATTTTATAACTCTCTAACTACCTCCAAACAGAATTCCCAACTAGCATAACCACCTTGTAACAAACTCTCAATCTCACCCTTCAATCTCTAACAAACTCTACCTAAATCAATGGTTCGGATTGATTCACACATAACCATTTCCATCTCCCTTAACTACCTATATAATCCAAACTCCCTCCAAGTTTCAAAAAACAACGAAGTCACTCTCTCGTTTCCAGTTTCAAAACTTCATCATTGTATCAGCTTCAAAACAACTTCTTCCCTCTCCATCATTCACTCTCAATTTTTCTGAACTCTCATAATCTTCAATTTCCCCTCTCTAAACTCCGTCTTCACCTCCACTCTCCATTGTTCGATCTTCAGTTAGTTCTCAAAGCTTCACTTCTCTCTGATTCATCATACAAAGTTCATTTTTCTCAACTTGCGATAATCTTCATAATTGTCATCATTTCCGCTCTTCTCCTATCGCCAACGCACGCAACCCCCAGACCAAAGAAAGGTGAAGACAGTGATGAGAGGATCAAGACGAAGCAGACAAGATCAAGAAGGACAATAATTGTATTACTTCATCTCTGGATTTCTGAAGCGCTACCAACGTGTCTTCAATAGGTAACCCTCAATCTTCTTCTTTTTATGACTTTTTCGCTTGGTCTGTACCATAACCACGAAGGGTAAAATGCGGTGAATGATAAATCCACCATGTAATCTTGACCGGAAGAAATGTAGAGCTTAAGTCTCGTTGTTAGATTCGGGATAGAGGAAGAGAAATTGACGAAAGCAAGCGAAGGAGTCGAATTCAGAGGGAGACTTTAGGTGGTGTTAACAAGAAAGTTGAATCAGAACAGGGGAGAAGGGATGTAGTCATGGCGGCATCGCCATTGTTGTTTTCGAATGTAGAAGAAAGGCTTTCTGCGTAAAGGAGCTGGAGGGGGCCGTTTACAGTAAACGCCGTCATTTTGGAATTTTTTTCTTTTCTCCTTTTGTTATTATTCATTTATTTAATGGTTATTTCAAATGGTTAAATAAATAAAAAGAGGAGAACTTATTATTATTTTGCCTTTAAGAATTAATTCCTGATTATTCGATTACTCGAAAATGGTAATTCACTTTGCTCGTCAAGATTCAAGTCTTATGCAGGTTTTTATATGGATACGCTCGAGATGCCGATTGTGATTTATTTTCACATTAAAAGATGCTTCAATAATCATTCTGAATATGGGATTTCTGACTCTTTTCTTTGTTGATGGTAACAGCTCACGAGATCGTCAAGTATCTTTGCTTTTTCTGCTTTGCTCTACGGGCTAGTATCCGTTTGGTATACTTTCTTTCTATTTTTTACCTCGCATTTATCTTGTCCCATAGATCATATGAAGTGTGATAGAATCAGGTTTAGGCTAGTCTCCCTATAACTTTTCTTTCCCTTTTCGCATATGCATTTCTAATAACAAAAATTTCTTTTTTTTTACAAACTTCAAAAATACAAAAAAGGAAATTTACTGACAAGAACCATGTCTTGGCTAAGTTTGAGAGATGATAAGCGGGTTTCTTCTCGACCTTATTATTCTCTTATTCTAAGCTTTGGTATGGTTCAAGTCTCAAAGACTCATTTCATGAATAAGTAGAGACATGGCTAAAGTCTCTCTCTTGAGATTAACTAGCCATTATCTACAAGCAAAAATACCAACCAATACAAACTCTTGTTGCCTTCGGGCCCTTTCTTTCAAAACCTTTTCAAAAGAACAAATTAATTCACTTCTGTGCTGACGCGTAAGTCTCCAAAGGTCGAGTTACGGCAGAAGGAGAAATTAATATCATTCATTACAAAACACAAACAAATTCAAACTTTTGTGCGTCCAGGCACATTTCTTTCCAAACTTTTCAAGAGAGCATGTTAATTCACTTTTGTGCTGACGCGTAAGTCTCCAAAGGTCGAGTTGCGGCAGAAGGCGAAATTAATATTGTTCAGTAAAAAAAATACAAACAAACAAAAACATGTAAGCCGAACTACGGCTGCTCAGATTCCTTAAAAGGGATGCGTAGGCATCGGGGTAGGGCCCGAACGAGCAAAATTTTATTTTTTTCCCTACATTTTTTTTCCTTTTCTTTTACATGCATTCTCCCCTTAGCAATAATAAACCGTAAGCATAGATTAAACACACCCATAAGATAGATAACAAGAGTGGATACCGTAGAGTACTACGGGCGTGTGGGGTGCTAATACCTTCCCCTCGCGTAACAGACTCCCTTACCCTTATCTCTTGGTCGTTCAACCTTGATTTCATCCTTCTCGGGTTTTCTCGATGTTTACCTTTCCCTACCTTTGGGATAAAAGACGCTCGATGGCGACTTCATTGTTTGATGATTTTCAGCCGGTTGTTTCAGCTGGCGACTTCACTGGGGAGTAGGTCGACCAAACGCTGGTCCGTCCCGGAGTCGCTCCTAGCTCTTGATTTCTTTTATTAGGGTGTTTATTTTTATGCTTTCAGTTCATTCGTTCATTTTTTAAATATACCTGTGCATATGCATGTATTACACTCTACTGCCTTCCATATACTGCTGTTGTACTGTATCTGCTTCTTGCTTGGGTGGGAATGTTACTATTAAGGTAAAAGGCCCAGTACCCAGGCCAGAGTGCACTAGGACACCTAGGAATAGAGTGGGGGCATGACGGCTATAGGACGTGGTCCGATTAGTGCAGTCATGTCATATACCACGCTCGGATGAGGTTCAATTGAAGGTACTTTCATCATGCACGTCTATGTTGCGATGATTTTACTTTCAGGCGGACCCGTGATTTTCGAGTTACCATTATCTCACCCTGACCTAGTCTTCACACGTGAGTGGGGAGGGATTTATCATTACAGGTACAATTGGTGACTATATTCAGACGATTACTTTTGGTTATGTCCTGCATTTCTACCAACAGTTATGAGGTTCTCAGATTTATTTTCTGAGGACTTATCTTTGATCTTCATGGTCCTCTTCCAGTTACATTTCAGACCTGTAATCTCGGTATTGACAAGGATACGAAGAGGCAGTACAACAGAAATCAGTATCATGGAAGTAGTAACCCCATGATCACTTGCACACACATCATGGCATATTTACCTTTCAAAAAAAAATATATATATATATATATATATATATATATATATATATATATATATATATATATATATATATATATATATATATATATATATATATATATATATATATATATATATATATATATATATATATATATATATATATATATATATATATATATATATATATATATATATATATATATATATATATATATATATATATATATATATATATATATATATATATATATATATATATATATATATATATATATATATATATATATATATGTATGTATGTATCAATAATTAATTCGCATATGCATTGTCATTTCCAGGATCTATCCAAGGTTTCCTTTTCCTCCAAAGAATGATGAACAACACTGATGTCACCCCGAAGACGAAGAGGGATAACTTCAGCTATCAGTTTCGTCCTAGTACTTGGCCCTCTCTTGAGAGCTCAAAGACCTCATGAATTGTCAACAAATGGGCGTTTTTGGTGAAAGATATGGGAATCTCCTATCTTTGCTGGATGCTCGGGTTAACGACAAGGCTGTACAGACGTTGTTACAATTTTATGATCCAGAGTTGAGATGCTTCACATTCCAAGACTACCAGTTAGCACCTACTCTTGAGGAGTATGCTCATCTTGCTAAGGTTCTTTATTTGAGCCTTAATGACATAAAAGGAAAATGGAGACGCAACAAAGTTAATTCCGGGCTTCCTACAGATTTCTTGGCAAGTAAGGCTAAGGAAATGGCGAATATGGGAAATTGGGATGCTTATTATGCTTTGTTGGCCGCCATAATTTACGGAGTTGTCTTATTCCCTGAGATTAAAGAAATCATGGACTTGGCATCTCTGTGCGTCTTCATGAATAAGAATCCTATACCTACGCTATTAGCAGATACTTACCACGCCATCCACTCCAGGCATGGAAAGAAAGGAGTAGTGGTATGTTGTATACCAATACTTTACAAATGGTTCATGGCGCAGTTACCCACCAAAGGGCCATTCAAAGAAGATCCTCGTTCATGGGCATCAAAATTGATGACACTCACCTCTTTCGACATTCAATGGTACAAACTTAAGGTGGATAGCTCCGAAGTCATCTCCCACTGTGCAGGTTTCTCTAATGTTCCACTCATGGGAACAAGAGGGGTTATCAACTACAATCCGGTACTCTCTCTTCGCCAATTAGGTTATGCCATGAGGCATCCACCCACAACCAAGGAGGTTGAACCTATGTTTCTCAAAAAAGGAGAAGACCCAGAATTGCTAAAAAGGGTGGAGATTGCTTGGGCACATATTGGAAAGAAAGGAAAGGAATTCTTTGGGCCAAAAGAAGTACTAGCTTTCGATCCTTACGTGAATTGGCTAAAGGAAAGAGTCAAAACTCTTATGTTACCTTTTGAAAAAGAGATTTCCTTGTATCTTCAACCCACCGAGTTGCTGCACGATATGCCTAAAGAACGCTTCTATCAAGTACAATTGGAAAACAGGGACCTCCGCCAGAACTTGGAAGACAAAAAGATAGAAATCTATTTTTTAACAGAAAAGAAAAGGGACTTGGTCCGTCAGTTGAAAGAGTATGAGGGGGAAAGTAGTTCCAAGAAATGACCTAGAAATGAAGACTTTTCTGTGTCTACGGAAGAGTATCAGATGGCCCTCACTGACGCAGAAAGGAATCGGCAAGAAACTTTGAAATTTCAGATGGCCAACAATAGGAACAAGGCCAAGGTCAAGGAATTAGGAAACCTATTCAAAGTTGCTAGGATTGAGTTGGAAGTGAAAGAAGATCAAATGACCGAAGTACTGAAGGAAAATGCAAGACTCTGAGACAAGATCAAGGAGATGGAAGAAGCACCCGTGCCTATACCTTTACCAGAATGTAAGGAATGTGACCGTCTCCTAGAGCAATGTGTGTACTTAGAGGGACAACTATATCGGAAAGATGTGGTGATCGATAGTTTCGCTCGTGAACGGGATCGTGAAAAGACGAAAAAGCTATTTGAAGAAACTAAAGAATGGAGTGAGGAATATTTCCGGCAAGGAGGGACATTATACTACACAGAGATTAAAGACTCCTCCCGTTGATTGCCTAATTCTCCCCTTTATTTCTTTTGTCTTTTGATCACCACCAGTCTTGTTGGATGGGATCATTTAAATTTCATTACAGTATCTGAATCATGCTTGTAAGAAGATACCATCAGATCATATGAATGATGTTTTTAATAAGATCAGTTATTAATCAGGACTTCTTCCTTTCGTTTGGCTCTTTTATCATGTTGTTTGAAATTCCTAGGGGTAATAAAACTTCGGATATCCTGGAAATGATATAACATACATAATCATGTATTCATGCATATCATAATTTGATAAGTAATCATGACAGGTCTTCTTATCTCTTGATTCGGGCCTCCTCATTGCAGAAAATAGCCACTACGAATTCCCATCGTTATAATACTCGAAGCACAGCCAGAAGACAGATGGAGCAAATTCAGGCAGATGTCGTGG